GTGTATGGGGGGCAGTGTGTGTGTATGGGGGCAGTATGGGGGCAGTGTGTGTGTATGGGGGGCAGTGTTTGTATGGGGGGAAGGAGGCTTTTTAATAATACTTTTTTTATTTATTTAATAAAATAAATACTCATTATGTCCTCCCTTTTTACCTTTACTGGGAGGAGGGGGACATTTCTTAGTCCCTGGTGGTCCGGTGGGGGATTCATTGGTGGTCTCAGTGGTAGGAGTGAACTCTAGCCCGCACTCCAGGGCTAGAGTTCACTCTTGCGTGATTCGGAGCATTGCCGCGCTAACTGCGGCAATGCTCTAAATCCTGCGAGAGGAGGACCTGGAGGAGCTGCAGGCTGAGCTCCTGGGTCCTCTCTCCTCCCTCTCCCTCCCCTGCCGGCTGTCAGCACGGTGCCTGCGGACTGGGGAGGGAGATCACTGATCTCCCTCCCCAGTCCGCAGGTACATTGCTATGTATTCATTACTGTTATATGTTATTTAAGCACTGTCTGTTGTATGGCACTCTATCCTGACGAAAGTTCCATTAGAGAACTGAAACGGTGACTCACCTAGGCGAATGCCTGAATACAAAGATAAGTTTTTTTCACCATATTTTTGAAGTCCTTGGAGTGCTATCTTTATACCATTCATTATATAAATATAATAAATGAAAGAGAGATGCACTCTGCGGTCTTTAGAAGAAATCAAAGTATTTAATATTCAACAAAGTTACATACCTGTAAATACGATCAGACATATATATAATGTCATACTAAGTGTATTTTTATATTAATATATACATATATTAAAATAAAAATACATTTATAATTAAATTATACACGTATATATATATACATATATAATATATATATATATATATAATATATATATATATATATTGTATATATATATATATAGAATTATAAAATACAAATAAGTAATTAAAATAAATTAAAAAACAAAAATAATAATAAAAAATGTAATTATATATCTATATGATATTTTATTCTAACTGTATTTTGATAATATATATATATATATATATATATATATATATATACATATAGGAATTTAAAATAATATGAAATATATATAATATATATATAAAAATATATATATACAAAATTACATAAATAATTTCATAAATATACACGTAGACTTCAAATATATAAATATGCATATATATTTAAATTCTACAAGTGTATTCATGTAATGTTTAAGTAATTTTATTGATTGCAATTTGAGGGACCTGCCTGACAACGCAGGCCGAAAGTCCAGAGAATTTAATTTACTAGCACTATATTTAACCCTGTGACTTTCTATGACACCCTAAAACTTGTACATGGGGGTACTGTTTTACTCGGGAGACTTCGCTGAACACAAATTAGTGATTCAAAACAGTAAAACATATCACAGAGATGATATTGTCAATGAAAGTGACTTTTTTTGCATTTTTCACACACAAACGGCACTTTCACTGATGATATAATTGTTGCAATACGTTTTACTGTTTTGAAACACTAATATTTGTGTTCAGCAAAGTTTCCTGAGTATAACAGTACCCCCCATGTACAGGTTTTATAGCGTTTTTGCAGTTACAAGGTCAAATATAAGGGTCAAATATTTTTAATTGAAAATTGCCAGGTTGGTTATGTTGCCTTTGAGAGCATATGGTAGCCCAGGAATGAGAATTATCCCCATGATGGCATACCATTTGCAAAAGAAGAGAACCCAAGGTATTGCAAATGGGGTATGTCCAGTCTTTTTTAGTAGCCGAATGTCCGAAATTCGTCCGAATTCACAACGAATTGCACATGTCTATTGTAAAGAAAGCCCCTTTTGTCCTGAAAAAAACAATATATAACTTGTATGGGAACCTTAAATGAGAGAGAGGAAAATTACAGCTAAACACAAACACCACAAAAGTGTTAAAAGAGCCCTGGTCCTTAACGTACAACATGGCCAAAACAGGCCGGTCCTGAAGGGGTTAAATCTGTTTTAAAATACACACACAATAAAAAGAACAAAATTATAAAAAAAACGGGCCAATTCAAAATCAATATTTAAACCACTTGGTCCTAATGTATCAAGTTCAAATATCCACTTGCTTTCCACCTTACTAAGTTCCCTAAAGTTGTCCTCCCCTGTCAATTGTGGGTTCAGGAAAACCCCAGAATGAGTCAGGATCATCGATGGGGGGACAATATTTGGCAACATCTGCTCTCATTAGAATATACCCCGGAGCTCATTCAGGATGCATCCAGCCGGCACGTCAGTCAGGAACTGCCCCCTTCCCCCATTATATATATGTATATATCAATATTATATCCCAGAAACAGGAACTCCGAGGTCTTGTAGTCTTATGCAATAAATCCTATATTTGTGCAAGGGTGGTAGTCAACGTTTCCGTCCATCTGACTTTTTTCAAGACAAACCATTAAACAAAATGTTATAAGCAGTGAACAGGAAGTGACTTCATAACAAAGTTTCCTAAAATAGCATAAATAATTGCATTATGTTACACCCATTCATTTGCAAAACCTGAATAGCGATTGAATCACTAATTGTCGTAGAGTGATCCGACTGACAATATATAGAAAGGACCGTTTATCTCAATAAATAAAATAAAGACATAAGAACCCAGTCATAAGGGTAAAAATAGTGTTTAAGTGTTTATTAAAAATGCACTGTGAAGCTCCAACAGCTTCAGTGTTAAATGTAAAAATATGGATAACCAACATATTTACAGGCTGCAAAGTTATTCATATAATAATAAAGTCTGGAGAAGGTTGAATCATACACCTACTCCATGCAGAGACATTATGTAAATCAGTTCTCAGGGAGAGCCCAAATGTAGAGGCTGATGGATGTCACATGAAAAGTTGTGCCATCGAGAGGAAAGGAGATTTCTCTGGTATCAGACTGTAGTGAAGTGTAGGGTGAAATTAGAGAGATCATTATTGAGAACGAATGAACCTTTAAACAACATTTTACTTCCCATAAAAAAATTAAAAATAATAAAAAATAAGGCATTATCTGCTACACCAAACTCAAATTTCATTATAAAAAAATGAAATAAGTGACTAAATAATTATACATATTCACATAGAATTTAAATAGATAAATATGTATATATATTTAAATTCTACATGTATATTTATGTAATCTTTTTATATAATTTATATAATTAAGTGATTTTATTAATTACAAATGTATGGGTCCTGCTTGACAACCCAGGCAGAAAGTCCATAGAATTTACACTATAGGGACACTATAGGCACCAAAACAACTTTATCTTAATTATGCTATTTTTGTGTATAGATCATGCCTCTAAAGTTTTACTGCTCAGTTTTCTGTCATTTAGGTGTTAATTCACTTTTGTTTCTATTTTTTCAGCTCTAGTCACACCTTCCTTGACCGACACATCCTGCATGAAAACAAAATGGTTTAATTTTCAGTCAGATGCAACTTACTTTAAAGTTTTTACCTCCTGCTCTGTAAATTGAACTTTAAATCACACACAGGAGGCTTCTGTGGGGTCTACCAAGCTATTAACAAAGCAGGAGATTAGAAATTCTAGATTAAACAATAAAGGAGGTTTAAACATTAGATGACTCTTTACAGGAAGTGTTCAGGAAGCCTGTGTAAGTCACATGCAGAGAGGTGTGACAAGGGCTGTATAAACAAAGCGATTTAACTCCTAAATGGCAGAGAATTGAGAAGTGAGTTTGCACGGGCATGATCTATACACCAAAACTGCTTCATAAAAGCTAATGTTGTTTTAGTGACTATGGCGTCCCTTTAATTTGCAAGCCCTATATTTAACCATGTAACTTTCCAAAACACAATAAAACTTGTACATGGCGGGTACTGTTATACTCGGGAGATTTCTCTGAACACAAATATTAGTGTTTTAAAATCATAAAATGTATCACAACAATGATATAATCAGCAAAAGGGCAGTTTTTGTGTGAAAAAAAGCAAAAAACAAAAATGAATGCTAAATTTGCCCAACGTTTGTGTCAGGATTACAGAATGATCCAGCACGTAGAACTGTGTAACACAGAGGACTGATAGGTAATGTATACCGGACTTTAGAATGCCCGGACTAACGTACCAAACAATAGTTAGGAATAGCCGAGGTCAAGGGAAACAGAAAGAGACACAACGATAAGGAAAAGCCAGGAGTCAGGGATGCCAGAAAACAGGGAAGTCAAAAACAATGTCAAAGTCAAATAACCAGAATAACCAGAATCAATAACACGCTCTCAGACAACCACAAGGGAAACCACGACAGGGCACTGAGCAGGATGAGAACTGGGCCTAAATACCCCTCCTCTAGGTCTGATAGGCTATGTGAATATGTATAATTATTTAGTCACTTATTTCATTTTTTTATAATGAAATTTGAGTTTGGTGTAGCAGATAATGCCTTTGACCCCAAAGTCAGTTACCAGATCTCATTTGCATAACTGCTGCTCAGTATTAACCCTTCTGTCGATTTGGTTGTTGCTCGGCACAACTTTTCCTGTGTGGACAGTAAATGTCATTAACAAATTTCTTTAAGCGGATGAATACGTGACAGTTTGTGACTAAGTGGCTATTATAAAAGACTGAACATAACCCAGTTTGAATACCCTGGGTTGTGTACTTTTTCAAATGGTATGCCATGATGGGTATAAATTTAATTTCTGGTCTACCATACGGTCTCAAAGGCAACATAACCAATCTGGAAAATTTCAACGTGCAAAAATGTAAATGGGCAAGTCATATATTTGACCCTGTAACTTTCCAAAACACCATGAAACCGGTACATAGGGGGTACTGCTGTACTTGTGAGACATCTCTGAATACAAATATGTGTGTTTTATTGCAGTAAACGTTAACAGGTAAGCAGTCATGCAGATCTTGAAAAATAACATACTTAATTTCTCACACATTTTTAGATTTTATACAAAAAAAATTATGTTCCACACATAAATATTTGATATTAACCCCTTAAGGACAGAGGGCGTACTATTACGCCCTGCAGGAGCCAGCTCTAAACGCCGGCGGGCGTAATAGTACGCCCTCACTTTAATGGCCGCCCATGTGGCCGGCGCTATTCGCCCGCTGCAGATCGCGGTCGGGGGGGATGCCCGGCCCCCCAGGCAACCCCCCCTGTGGCCGGTGACCGCGATCTGCAGTCACTGATCGCAGTGACAGGCTGTCACTGCGATCAGTTTTTTAACGTGTGTCAGCCGATTTCAAATCGGCTGACACACGTGGCCAGCGGCTACCCCGTGCAGATCGCGGTCGGGGGACTTACCTGGCCCCCCAGGCAGTCCCCCTGGGGTCAGTGACCGCGATCTGCAACTCTGAGATCGCAGTGACAGGCTGTCACTGCGATCTCAGAGCGCTCTGATCGCAGTGACAGCCTGTCACTGCGATCAGTGTTACATGTGTCAGCCTATTGGCTGACACATGTAACTGGCACAAAGATCCCCCTGCACATTGGAAGGGAGGAGTGCTTGTACCACCCAGGCACTCCCCCCTGTGGCCAATTACCCAATCTGCAGGAGGTGATCACAGTGACAGCCAGTCACTGTGATCACTGATCCTGTGTGTCAGCCAGTGATGTGAAATCACTGGCTGACACTGTCTCTGCCCCCTGTCCTGTAAAAAAATAAAATATTAGTAAAAAAAAAATTACAGTTAAATATAAAATATACTTAGATCATATATATTATATATATATGATCTAAGTATATATATATATATATATATATATATACACACACACACACACACATTTACACATACACGAAGTGTATTTAAATATTAATATATATAATTATTTATATATATATTACTATCAAATTACACGTAGACTAATACTGATTAAATATATATATATATAATTATTGTTATATATATATATTTATATATAATATAAAAAAATGTAAATACGTAAAAAAATAAAATTAAAAAAATAATTAAAAATAAATAATAAAAAAATATATAGATGTTTGTTATTTCGTTCTAACTGTATTGTGATATTAATATATATATATTTATATCAAAATACACGTAGAACGAAATAATATATATATCTATATACATAAATATATACATATATATCACTAAATATATACACCTATATATAAATAAAAATATTTAAAAAAATTATATATATATATATGTATATATACACATATGTATATATATACATATATTAATTCTACACATATATTTATGTAATATTTTTACATAATTAGGTATCCTAATTAATTACAATTAGCGGGACCTGCATGATAACCCATGCCGAAAGTAAAGTGAATTTAATTTGCTAGCACTATATTTAACCCTATAACTTTCCAAGACACCATAAAACCTGTAAATTGGGGGTACTGTTTTACTCGGGAGACTTCGCTGAACACAAATATTAGTGTTTCAAAACAGTAAAATGTATTACAACAATGATATCGCCAGTAAAAGTGAAGTTTTTTGCATTTTTCACGCACAAACAGCACTTACACGGATGATATTATTGCTGCAATACTTTTTACTGTTTTGAAACACAAATAATTGTGTTCAGCGAAGTCTCCCGAGTACAACAGTACCCCTCATGTACAGGTTTTATGGTGTTTTCAAAAGTTACAGCGTCAAATATAAGGCTTGTGTTTCATTTTTTCACATTAAAATTCGCCAGATTGGTTACGTTGCCTTTGAGACCCTATGGTAGCCCAAGAATGAAAATTACCCCTATGATGGCATACCATCTGCAATAGTAGACAACCCAAGGTATTGCAAACAGGGTATGTCCAGTCTTTTTTAGTAGCCACTTAGTCACAAACACTGGCCAAAATTGGCGTTTTTTGCATTTTTCACACAAACAGATACTAACGCTAACTTTGGCCAGTGTTTGTGACCAAATGGCTACTAAAAAAGACTGGACATACCCCATTTGCAATACCTTGGGTTGTCTACTATTGCAAATGGTATGCCATTATGGGTGTAAATTTCATTCCTGGGCTACTATACAGTCCCAAAGGCAACGTAACCAATCTGGCGAATTTCAATTTCAAATGTAACGTGCTATATTTGACCCTGTAACTTCCCAAAACGCCATAAAACCTGTACATAGGGGGTACTGTTTTACACGTGAGACTTTGCTGAATACAAATATGTGTATTTTATTGCAGTAAAAGCAAACAGTATTATGACATTGACAGTTAAAATGTCATGTAGAACTAAAAAAATCAAAAAAAATCTTATTTTCTCCCATTTTTTTCATATTAAATTATGTTTCATAGCTAAATATTTGATATTAAATGAAAGCCCTGTTTCCCCTGAATAAAATGAGATATAATAAGGGTGGGTGCATTTACTATGAAAGAGGTGTATTACGGTTGGACAGACATGTAGCGCAAATGCCAGGTTTTGTTTACATTTTGTTTCGTTCACAACGTGTACATTTGGCTCCGTCCTTAAGGGGTTAAATGAAAGCATTGTTTCTCCTTAACAAAAATGATATATAATAAGTGGGGGGGTGCACTTAATATGAAAAAAGTGGATTATGCTTGAGAAGACAAAGTCAAATTCCTGGTTTTGTTGACATTTTATTTTAAGCAGAAGGTGTACAATTGCCTCTGTCCTTAAGGGGTTGAAAAGGCATGGCACTATCCGAGTAATCACGCACTAATAGCCTGCTAACCTTAATTCATGCCAAAATACAACATATACCTGCACTTTAGCCCCAAGTGTTCTCACTACAAGGACAACACCACACAAACACTAGCATCCATACTGGCACAAAAAATGCAGAGGTGGCTGTTACAGCAATGCAAACAGCTGTGTAAATAAAAAATAAGTTATAACTTCTGAGCTTAATACTGAAAACATACCCAGTGATGCACTGCACAAGCAGTTAAACGAATACAAAAAAACAAAACAAGCAAACCTAACCTGTGCCTTGTTGCCAAATATACATATGAATCTCTAGGTGACTATAACCTATATTTATTAATAAGGCCCATAACTAAAGACAACTTGCCTGAAAGCTCAAGGTGTTTTTTTTTCTTCTATCTTTCCTGTTGTTTTTTTTTTATATACAATCTTTATTGAAATTTACAGTTACGAATACATACAAAATTTTGTATATCAGTACTAAAAACTTTTATGTATATGTACGTACACAAAAATAAACAGAGACAAAAGTACATATAACATTTAATGTTGCCTGGTTCTTGATGCCTCTGTTCATATTTTATCTCCTTTAAAGTAACACTATAGTTTTAGCAATGCAAACCTGTAGTCCTAACACAATAGAGTCCCTGTCACTATTTAATTAGATCCACTCCCACCCAGTAAATAAAAGGTTAAAAACCCTTTGTTAATTTATCTCTATCAAGCATGAGGCTCCTTGGAAACGGCTAGGTCTCCTCCTATCGCAACGTCACACCAATGGAAAGAATCAAATGCATAGGGCACACTTTAAAGCTTGAGGACGTTGTTTCATGGAGAAAAACTTCTATTAGGAAGCAATAAGCACATCTAGTGGCTGTCTCTAGTGGCTGGTACCAACATTGCAATGTTAACATTACAGTTTCTCTGAAACTACAATGTTTTACTTTGCAGTGATAACCCATTAAAGCTGTTACACCGTTCTATGTTGTCCCACATTATGTGAGCTTAAACACTTTATGCGTTTTATGCTTCCATAGCAGTATGTGGACCCTGAGCTTTGGGGTACTTACCTTCCCCAGCTATCCATTTTGACAACCCAGGCAGTACCACTCCGGCAAGTGCGGCCCTCTTGTACCATATGATCATGATGAAGTCATGATCACATGGTCACAATAGCAGCATACAGAACTGCTTGGGTTGAATTTAATTTGCAAGCCCTATATTTCCCCCTGTAAATTCCTTTTGAGTAAGAGTTAGTTTTAGGGTAAGTGCAAGCATTAAAGGAACACTATAGGGTCAGGAACACAAACATGTATTCCTGGCCCTCTAGGTTAAACCCACCATTTAGGTGGCTTGCTCCCCCCTCAGCCCCCTTAGAAAAGGCAAAAGCTTACCTCATTTCCATCGCCGCGCTGGTCCTTGATGACATCAGAATTGCTGATTTTTAGCCAATCTAATGCTTTCCCATGGGGGAAAGCATTGGATTGGCTAAAATCAGAAAGGAGGTGGGATGGGGCGAGGTCAAACACTGTTTTGGCCAATCAGCACTTCTTTATAGAGATGCATTGAATAAAGGAGGAAAATTCAGTGTCTCCACACAGCATGGAGATGCTGAATGGCAGTGCTGCCTACTGTACAGCACTGAGCCAGGAAGCACCTCCACTGGCCATCTAAGGAGTGGCCACTTGGAGGTGTCCCTAGGAGCAATGTAAACACTGCCTTTTCACTGATTATACTCACCAGAACAACTACATTAAACTGTAGTTGTTTTGGTGACTATAGTGTCCCTTTAAATTAGCCAAAGATTTTCCAAGCTGCTATGCCAGGAAGATGTAACTTTCTAAATAATCTATTTATACATTTGTATCCACTTACTTTAAAGAATCCCAAACTTGTTTTAATTCCTGGAATCTGTCAAATAAAATAATAAAAGTGTGTACATCACACACAGGTAGATGCATAAAGAAATACGAGCAGCATTTCCTGCTGTGCCAGTTTAAAAATATTAGTGCAGACACAGCATAAATATACCATTATACCAGAGTATAATGATAACAAAAAACTTATTTTCGCATGGAATAGAAGGGTTAGAAAGAATAAACCCTAAGATCCTAGCCTAGAGTGATCCTTTATGCGTTTTCACATGTTTCATATCTAGATGCCTTATCGATGATTTTTTGGGTATTAATACTGCTAAAGTTCCAATCAAGTATATCTTCATACCTTGGGTGCAACCTATCTACCTCTATCAGCATTTGCCACTAATTGTCCAGCAACAAGGGTTTATTGGATATAATGGAAGCTATGCAGCCTTTATGCACTGAAGTGCTGTGTTATAGATTACAAGTAGTTCCAAATAGTCCAATGAAAAAATGAAAAAGTCTATCCATCAGTATGTAGAGTCAGCAAGCTAAGACAAGGGGAAAGGTATTAGCTCTGCTACATCACTACCATTGTTTATACTCGCACAATACTAATCACTCCACTGGCTATCTGCTCCTATTTTGGGAGGATTAGAAAAGAGAATGCACCAAACTTGTTATGGAAAGCAGATATTCACAAATCATTAGCCAAGGGCTCCAACTCCATACAAACTATGCTGTCCTTTGCAGATCAGAGGGCCAAAATGGTTGAAGGAGACCAAC